CTGTGTGAAAGCAGACAGCTAGGGTGGAGGCTGCTGAGTACCCTTGGACTTGCCACCATGAGCAGCACTTTAGCAAAGATTGCAGAGATCTAAGCTGAGACGGCTCCAACTCAAAAGAACAAGGCCCCAGTATATCACCTAAGACTGCTTACAGCTCACCTTGCTACACTTCATAGAGAACTCATTACACCAAGGGGGGGGGCAGGAGAAGGTTTTGATATGGCCAAGACAGGTAATGCTCAAATTGGCTTTGTGGGTTTTCCATCTGTGAGGAAGTCAACACTGCTGAGTAACCTGGCAGAAGTATACTCTGAGGTGGCAGCCTATGAATTTACTACTTTCACTACTGTGCCTGGCACCATCAGGTACAAAGGTGCCATGATTCAGATCCTAGATCTCCCACCTGCCAAAGTACCAAGGATGGGAAAGATAAAGGTTGTCAAGTCACTGCAGTGGCCCATACATGTAATTTGATCCTGACTGTTCCGGATGTCTTGAAACCCTTGGGACACAAGAAGATAACTGAAAATGAGCTGAAAGACTTTGGCATTTGCTTGAATAGCAAACCTCCTAACATTAGCTTTAAGAAGAAAGACAAGGGAGGCACTAATCTCACAGCCACTTGCTGTCAGGGTGAGCTGGATGGTGAAACTGTGAAGAGCATTCTGGCTGAATATAAAATTCATAATACTGACACAACTTTGTGTAGCAATGCCACAGCTGATGACCTCATTGATGTGGTGGAAGGAAACACAGTGTATATCCCTTGTATCTACGTATTAAATAAGACTGACCAGATCTCCATTGAGGATTGGACGTCATCTATAAGGTCCCACACTATGTACCCATCTCTGCCCATCACCGCTGGAATTTTGATGAGAAGATCTGGGAATATCTGAGACTAGTGAAAATCTACATCAAACCCAAAGGGCAGTTACCATATTACACATCTCCTGTGGTGCTGCCTTACTCCAGGACCACAACAGAGGATTTCTGTATGAAGATTCACACACACACACACACACACACACACACACACACACCAAAAAAAAAAATTATCAAAAGGACGGCCAAATAGCTCAGCAGATTAAAGCACATGCAACACACCTATAATATTCAATAACGGAACTTAGAAAAAATGGGGTATACCGATGAATGTCCATTTTGTATCTGTGTATTCAAAGTGGTTAGGATAGATATATAGTTGCATTCTCTTAAGGAATAGAATGATTTGTTCTAATGTTGTTTGTAAATAGGATCACAAGTCCACTTCTTGTACAGCAATTAACCACTAAGAAGAATATATGCAGTGTATTATTTGTTGAAACTGTACTTCCGATTTGATTTGAAACTGTCTCATTGCTATCTGTTTATCAATAAAACTTTGAAAAAATAAAGTTAATACTATACAAAAAAAAAAAAAAAAAAGCACATGCAAGCAGGTACAGAGGCCGGGGGTTTGAGCCCCAGGCCTGCTGTGCCAGCCCCTCCCCCAGGCTGTGCTGAGATAGCGATTCAGACTGGGCGTAGTAATGTGTGCCTGTAATCCCAGCTCTTGGAAGGCTGTAAACAGGTGGATCACTATGAGTCTGATCTAGTTGTGAGACCCTTAACACCCTGTAGATCCTTTCCTAAAATACAAAGAGAAAAAAAAAAAAAAACCATCAAAAATTTAAACACGCTCTGGTCTGGGGCCTCTCTGTGAAACACAATCCTCAGAAAGCAGGTAAAGACCATATGTTGGAGGTCAAGGATGTCATTCAGCTTGTGAAGAAGTGAAACCTTTCCCTTCTCCCATCTGTCATGCCAACCACAGCCACTTTCCCCATGACCCAGCACCTTACTCAATTCCTTCTGTTTTTAGAAGCCGCTGGATCAGGATACAGGGCTGGGAAATACAGGCACCTGAACTGAAGCTTCACTTATCTTACTTGCTGTCACCTATGCTGAGCTGCTTAAAAGACACAGTAGGTCTGTTCTCTATGAAAACAAAACAAAACAAAACAAAACAAAAAAACAGAAAACAAAAGAACCTACCTAAATGAGATTTCTGGGTGGGAGTGATAGCTCAGTGGTCTAAGCACTTGCCTGGCAAGCATAAGAACCTGGGTTTGATCCCCAGTGCCACATGCTGTGCTGGCCCCAGAACCCCAGATACACTGTGCTAGCCACTGAAATCAGGCATGGTGGCACACTTGTAATCCCAGAGCTGAGGAGGCTGAAACAGGAGGATCACTATGAGTCTGAGCTTCATAGCGAGACCCTGTACCAAATAAATACATGAATAGAAAAAAAAAAAATTTTTTTTTAAATGAGACTTCTGAGTGTTGGGGCTACAGCTCAGTGGTAAAATCTTAACCTTTTACCTATGAGACTCTGGACTCAATCTCCAGTACTGAAAAATAAAAACAAAAACACCCCACAACACTACTGGTTGTTGTAACTCTCAACTGGAATAACTCAAGACAAACAGACCAGGTATCTATCAAGTTTTTTTTTTGTTTTTTGTTTTTTTTTTTTAAGGATTAAAATGCCAATGTGTAAGCCTGGTCTCCTAAGGCATGTAATTGTTCAGCACCTAAAGTAATCCTCAGACCCTTTAGATCCAGTTTGGCAGAAAGTGGGCAAACAAAAAGTAGGTCTCTCCAAAAGAAAAACCTGCATCCCCTAAGGACTATTTCAGATGAGGCTATAAAAGATAATAAATTAAGTGGTTTTTGGATAGTAGATATGTATCCAGTGCTTGTCCTTGTAAATTGCCTTCAGGTTTATGCCACTGTTTTACATATTTTCAGTGATGAGAAATCTAAACCTTTAATTATGGATTAGAAAATATACTCAACTAAAAGTGACTATACAAGGTAACTTTAATAAATAACTGATCAAGATAGTTTCAGCGTAAAAGATATAGGAGTTCTATAAATCTAAGGAACACATTGATCATATCACTATGAGTTTACCTTTTTTTTTTTGGTACCAGGGATAGAACTCAGGACCTTTCACTTGCCAAGCAGGCATTTAAGATGCTGAGCTATCTCGATGGCCTGAGATTACCTCTTTTTGAGAGAAGGTCTTACCATGCAGTTGCATGGCGTAAAGAAAGATAGTCTCTTTTTATGAGAGACTATAAATACAAAAAAAAAAAACAAAAAAAGCAAAGTGATAGGTAAATACAATTACAAATAATAAAGACCCAGGAAAATAATCACTCATATATTAATTCTACATCTGATTCCATTCCTAGCATCCTAGGGCTAAAAGTTGTGATTTTTTTTCAGTAGTAGGGGTTGAGCCCCGTGGCCTTCTCATTGAGCTACATTCTCTATTCCAATTTAAAATTTTAGAGACAGCTCGGTAGAGTAAGTGCTTGCTTGGCAAGCACAAGGGCCTGAGTTCAATCCCTGGTTCCAGAAAAAAAAAAAAATAGGTTTGGGGAGATAGCTCAGTAGAATAAGCGCTTGCCTGGCAAGCATAAAAGCTGAGTTCAATCCCCGGTTCCCCAAAAGTAAAAAATAAAATTTTAGATCCGGTTCGGCGGCGGTCGAGCTGCGTAGCTCCGACAG